TCGCTCTCTGCCGAACCCAGGAATAATCAACGTGGAGGTGGCGAGTGTATATTCCCTTTTTTTTGTTTTTTGCCCATTTTTATTTTTTTTTAATTTTCTTGTTTTATTTTTTTTTATAGTTTAACTTCTTTTTCTCAATCTTTTTCTGTTTTTTTTTAAGATTTCTCTTTTCGATTTTATTATTGTTACCGTGTATTATAACTGGTGATTTGTGCAATAGTGAGGAGAACTTTCATATTTAGGATCGAAAAAATGTGTAAAACACATAAACTTTTTACACCAGGCACATTTGAAAAAGGCGATCTCATCGCAGCACTCACAAGTGGCATCGCAATTTAAGAAATAGTAATTAACTGGTGTTTCACATTTCGGAGGTTTTTCAGAAATATATCCACTTTTGTACCACGAATATTTGAACAGATTAATAAACCGGGGAGCTGACAACTGATTATGCGTTAGTGACTGGATTTTCAAGATATTATTTCGTAAATGCAAATTAACATCATAATCATATAAAATTACCGAGTCGGAAAAATGTTTTACAAAATTTTTCCACGGTCTAAATCCGTAAACATCCAAAGGCTGTATCATGCCTGTTGTTCCTGCAGGTATTGTGAATATATTAACGTCTTTTCCATCTGCATCGACATTTTCGAAATTCTGTTTAGTTTGCCCTGTCCAGGAATCCAAACAGAGTATCGATTGTTCATTAACAACAGGTAGATATATATCTTTATACCATTGAGCTGCCAGAGCGGATGATAGTTTGCCGGATGTTGAACATAATACAACTATATTTTCTGCTTTGTATAAATTTTTTTCAACAGTTGGTTCAAATTTTCCACCTTTTTCTTGCAACACAATAAGTAGTGGGGATTTGAGCAATCCACTAGCACTTACAATGGGCTGAATTGTGTAACTATGGGTTAACGAATTTAATGATTGAGCACTGTGTTCAATTTTCATGTCTCCTTTAAAAGACAACGTTCTTCCTGCATGTAATTCTAGATTGAAACCTGATTGGTCTGAATTGTGAACATTATCAGGTTCAATCAACGAAATTTTTTCCCTAATTTTTTTCACAAATTGATCTGCTTCATGATTTAAATGATCTTTATTTGACATTTGAGTTTTAGTGACAAATTTATTAATTTTTCGTGAAACAATGTTATGTCTTTTCTTGAAATTATGAACCCATTTTGAAGAAGCTGTGAATAATTTTGGAGACAACTGAACTATATTCCTCGCTTTCAAAGCCCATCTTTTTATATCCATATCATGAATAGGTAATGACTTTTCCCGAGCATTTTGAAATTGATTCATTACGTACTTACAAATTTCTGCCAATTTTTCAAGTCTGTTTCCATCTTCGTTAACTTGCGATTCCCATCTATAAAGCATTTTTTTATCTTTCACATGCTTAAACTGATTTTGAACTGTACTGAATTTTAGACTTCCATTTTTACCGGATTTCCAATAAGAAACGGCTTTCTTCTTATATTCCATATCTATTGTACCTTTCAACGTTTTACTATTATCATTAACAACATTGACAACTTTAGGCTCATATTCAAAATCTTCATCAACGGTGAAAATCTCCGGTATCGCACTTTCCTCTTTCAAGCACAATGTTGAAGAAGTTTCAAAAAATAGTTGGGCATCTACAGCGTCTTTTATAAGACTACTTAAGTGTTCTACAAAATCTCTTTCATCATTAGTTACAATCGAATCAAATCGTGTGCAATAAATTGGAGCTACGGCCGAACTTGGTCGAGGTCGATAAAACATGTTTATAAAAGACGCTGTAGATGCCCAACTATTTTTTGAAACTTCTTCAACATTGTGCTTGAAAGAGGAAAGTGCGATACCGGAGATTTTCACCGTTGATGAAGATTTTGAATATGAGCCTAAAGTTGTCAATGTTGTTAATGATAATAGTAAAACGTTGAAAGGTACAATAGATATGGAATATAAGAAGAAAGCCGTTTCTTATTGGAAATCCGGTAAAAACGGAAGTCTAAAATTCAGTACAGTTCAAAATCAGTTTAAGCATGTGAAAGATAAAAAAATGCTTTATAGATGGGAATCGCAAGTTAACGAAGATGGAAACAGACTTGAAAAATTGGCAGAAATTTGTAAGTACGTAATGAATCAATTTCAAAATGCTCGGGAAAAGTCATTACCTATTCATGATATGGATATAAAAAGATGGGCTTTGAAAGCGAGGAATATAGTTCAGTTGTCTCCAAAATTATTCACAGCTTCTTCAAAATGGGTTCATAATTTCAAGAAAAGACATAACATTGTTTCACGAAAAATTAATAAATTTGTCACTAAAACTCAAATGTCAAATAAAGATCATTTAAATCATGAAGCAGATCAATTTGTGAAAAAAATTAGGGAAAAAATTTCGTTGATTGAACCTGATAATGTTCACAATTCAGACCAATCAGGTTTCAATCTAGAATTACATGCAGGAAGAACGTTGTCTTTTAAAGGAGACATGAAAATTGAACACAGTGCTCAATCATTAAATTCGTTAACCCATAGTTACACAATTCAGCCCATTGTAAGTGCTAGTGGATTGCTCAAATCCCCACTACTTATTGTGTTGCAAGAAAAAGGTGGAAAATTTGAACCAACTGTTGAAAAAAATTTATACAAAGCAGAAAATATAGTTGTATTATGTTCAACATCCGGCAAACTATCATCCGCTCTGGCAGCTCAATGGTATAAAGATATATATCTACCTGTTGTTAATGAACAATCGATACTCTGTTTGGATTCCTGGACAGGGCAAACTAAACAGAATTTCGAAAATGTCGATGCAGATGGAAAAGACGTTAATATATTCACAATACCTGCAGGAACAACAGGCATGATACAGCCTTTGGATGTTTACGGATTTAGACCGTGGAAAAATTTTGTAAAACATTTTTCCGACTCGGTAATTTTATATGATTATGATGTTAATTTGCATTTACGAAATAATATCTTGAAAATCCAGTCACTAACGCATAATCAGTTGTCAGCTCCCCGGTTTATTAATCTGTTCAAATATTCGTGGTACAAAAGTGGATATATTTCTGAAAAACCTCCGAAATGTGAAACACCAGTTAATTACTATTTCTTAAATTGCGATGCCACTTGTGAGTGCTGCGATGAGATCGCCTTTTTCAAATGTGCCTGGTGTAAAAAGTTTATGTGTTTTACACATTTTTTCGATCCTAAATATGAAAGTTCTCCTCACTATTGCACAAATCACCAGTTATAATACACGGTAACAATAATAAAATCGAAAAGAGAAATCTTAAAAAAAAAACAGAAAAAAATTGAGAAAAAGAAGTTAAACTATAAAAAAAAATAAAACAAGAAAATTAAAAAAAAATAAAAATGGGCAAAAAACAAAAAAAAGGGAATATACACTCGCCACCTCCACGTTGATTATTCCTGGGTTCGGCAGAGAGCGAGATAACCTAATGGGTGCTATGTTTTATAAATTAGTCCAATTCGCAATCCATCAAATATGTATTTACTTACTAAAGAAAGATATATTTTTCGAAATAAAAGAATATATGACTAAAAAGATATGAAAAAACGCGATTTTTTAGGTTTTTTTTAGTTTTGACCTTGAAAATGACCTTGGCGACAATTTTTTTTAACATATTCGTAATAAGCACATCAAAATATATAAATACATGAAATTACAGCTAAGAGCATTATTCGCAAATACAACCGTTTATTAAAAAATTTAATATTTCAACTCCCATTTTCAGCCCTTAGAACATCATGTCTGCCGAAATAAAAAAATACGTATCAAATATTTTTCGATTCTTGACAAAATCTGCATAGGTAGAAGTCAATCCCGGAGTGGCACTTGGGTAGGTTTACTTGTGAGTAACCTCCCGCAGGTTTTAGGTGGCGGTTGCTGTCCGTTAAAAAGTTATCAACAAAAAGTTTCAAAATTAACGTATCATTTCTACTATACATGTATGATATTAATTACTATTATAATTGCTATATATGTATGATATTATTTCTCCTGCACATGTATGATATTAAGTACTATTCTACATTTTTCCCTGTTCATAAACGTTAATCTTTTCATACGAAATTACTTTCACCTCCCCCAATCCCCTGCAGAGGTCATACGACTCCTATGATTGTAGTATTGCTCTGATTGTACTGTGAGGGGAAACCTCTGCCGAAGGGGTGAGTGCGGGAGGGGAGGCGAAGGGCACCCCATTGCACCCTCCGTGTGTATGTGTGTGTGTTCCATTTGATATATAACGATTATGAGTCTATTACTTGATGTTTACACACACACACACACACACGGGGGGGGGGGGGGGGGGATCGGCCCCCTCTGCCGCACCTTCTCCGTCGATAGAGGTCTCCTCCAACAGTACAATCAAATCAACAGTACAATCAGAGAAGTCGTGTGCTCCTTTGAAGAGGGTTGGCTTCCCTTTTCTATATATTAACCGACAGTGGGTGCTAATTTATGGGGTGATTTTTCGGTTCAAGGGGGTGAGCACAAAAATCTCGTTGTGCATATTTTGAAAGCACATAGTAGTAGCAGTAGTAAATAAATGCAGGTGGGCTTTATTAGCCTTCTAACGCGACTTATATCCATAAGGATCCATTGTCGCTCCCTGCTTGTTCCGTAGGTCATCCAGTCGAGCCTAGCCTCGTGTCACTTACTAGACTTATTAGACTGCTGACCTTCGCATTTTCTTTAGATCCTTGGGTGTCATAAACATGTGTCCCCAGGATTTATATCTTTTACAAGCGAGTGCAGGGCATCGGCACAGTAGATGCAGGTTGTCCTCGCTTTCTTCTCCACATAACCGGCATTCTTTCTGCTCTGCCAGTCCTAGGTTGAATAGATGTGCTCTAAGGGGCATGTGTCCTGTCAGGAGGCCTAAGCTGCTCCTTAGTTTTGCTTTTCCCATTGCCAGCAATTCTCTGGTTCTTGTTGGTTTTGGAAATCTCTTGAGTTATTTGACTCGTTTACAGCCCTCTGCTTCCTTCCAGGAGTTCGAGTGCTCCCATTTCAGCCACTCTTTGATCGTTTTTGTTACAGCTGAAAATGGGACCCCGATGATCTGTTCAGTTGGGACCTTTTCAGTACCCAGCTTTGCCAGTTCGTCCGCTCTCTCATTTCCAGGTATACCCTGATGTCCAGGTACTTATACTAATGTTACTTGGTTTGTTATCCCTAGTGCTATGAGTGCTTGCATACAGTCCCATACCACAGATGATTCTGTGGAGGTTCTTGTAAGTGCTTCAATAGCTGCTCTGCTATCTGTGTAAATGTATATTTGTTTTCTGCTTTTCCCCTTTAATAGGAGTTTCGCACATTTTAGGATGGCCAGCACTTCAGCTTGAAACACTATGGCCAGCTCACCCATTGGTATGCTTACCTCATGGTTAATATTGAGCTCATACGTACCTGTTCCATATCGACCGTTTGCTCCTGATATATCCGTGAACCAAGTGTCTACATCTGGATTGGTTTTGAAGTTATGTTTGCTCCAGTCCTACCTAGTCGGTATTTGAACTTTAAAAGTCTTCACCAACTAGTGTCTTCTGGGAATCGTATCTTGTCTTAGATTGAAAGGGTGTTTATCGGAAAGTCCCAGTCTGATGTGTCCACTCCTGGTTTCCTTCCACTCACCTTGACATTTTAATCTGTATGCTATTTGCCTGGCTGTATATTTGATCATCTGGTTTAGGGGCGGAATACTGAGTGCTACTTGTAGCGCCTCAGTTGGTGTAGTTTTCATGGCCTCTGTTGTAGCCCTCAGGTATCCTCCCTGTAGGCTTTTGAGCAGGTTCCTTGCCTCCACCTTTTCCGCCCTTGACCACCAGACCACTGCTGCATACGTGAGTCTTAGTAACAATACCATCTTGTATAACCATAATAGTGGAGTGCAATTATTTTTTGACTTTGCAAAAATTCCTTACAAAGTAAACTTTGCGGATATCGCTTCATTAGCTTATCAGAAATAAAGAAAAAAATAGTTTACCTCTTTAAGTAGTGTGCGTTTTTTTTTATTTAACAAAATAACCTCAAAAACGTTTTTTGCAAATAACTTTTAAATAAAGCAATAAACAATAAAAACAATGCCACCAATGTAAAGAGCAGAAAATTTCACATAAAAAATGTTAAGAAAGTTTTTTTCTAAAATCATAATTGTACGACGTAGAATTTTTTCAATATGTTGTGATTTCGTTAACGACGCAGAGTAGCGCCGAGTGCAAAGCCCTCGCACCACAGATATAATTGTTTTTAATATCCATATAGGTAAAAAAATATTTTTACCAACAGTTGATTTTAATTAAATATACTTCAAACTAAACGTTAAGTATATTTGAAATGTATAAATAATATTTTAAATTTATTACTACGTCGACCCGCCATCAGAGGTCTATAGATATTCGCTAAGATTCTCGCAAGTGCTTTGATACGCGTATATCTGTATATATAGAATCTCGATTTAATAACTAAAACAGGCGTCTAAGGTAGGCTTCCATTACAATACCTTACTGATGAGTCCAGTATTGGAAGCCGGGACGAAACGCCAACATTACGTGATATTCTTCGCAATATATTAGAATTAATAGAATTAAAGATTTTAATGAATCTCAGGCTCGTAGCCCTATTCTCATATTATTAGTTTTAATATTTTAAATATTAGTAATCGTAACATAATGCCAAGGTATGAGAAATTCTCGACTATATTCGGTATTTTGCATGTCATATTTATAAATACTTTCAAATTACTTTCATATCATGAGGATTTATTTTTGATATGATGCTGTAAAAGCTCTGTGGATTAAAAAAAATTTCAAAAATTTATTTTTCAAAATACACACCTTAAAAAGTTCGTAATTTTCAAAAATTGGGTTTCTTTAATAAATTCTCTAACTTCCCTTGTAATGTAAAAGGCAAAAATAACTCGTAAAATATATATATAGGTGAGCTTTTTAAAGCTTAGAATGTGTACTTTATGATGATATTATAATATATGGGTAAAAATGAAAATTAATTTGTTATATTCATTAATAAAGAAGAACAAATACGTTTCATGCGGCAAAATGCAAATATACGCGCTACTGAAAACATCTATAATTAATCAAATAAATTTTTTTTGCAATTTCAATGCATGGAGGTTGTAAATGGAGGTATGTTTTTGTGAAATATACCTTAATTGTATTTTTTTCGTGCGTCTTATTGTTATATTAAACAAAAATGTCAAAAATATAACACAAAATCTATATTTTTTCGATGTAATATGTTTTTTAAGTGTTATTTAATATTTTAAAACATGTTTAAGTAATGGATGTATATCACAGCAACACATTCCAAGTGAAACAATGTATATATGCATATGTATATATATATATATATATGCATATATACATATATGTATATATATATGTATGTATATATACAGGGTGTTCCAGTAACTCTGTTACAAGGCAATATCTCTGTTACCGTTAATGATACGCGAAAATGTCTAAGGAAGAAATTGTTAGGTTCGGAGGGAAACATTTATTGGTCACCTTGTTTCTTTTCTAGGTGGAGGCGCTAAAAAGATATGAAGGTCACCTTCACTTTTTTAAATGAAATTATGTAATTTTTTTTAGATAACGTGATTCCCCTAATTATTTTGCATACAAAAGTATTAAGGTAGAGATACCAAAAAACCAATAGTTATCGAGATATTTTACACTTTATTTTGATGCATATTGACACAAAATGTTAAATAACTCGTAAACTGTTGACTTTTTGATTATCGTACCTTAATACTTTTGTGAACAGAATAATGAGATAAATCAAATGGTGTTAAGAAAACACATAGTTGCACCGAAAACAGCATCTTGAATTCAAGAATCGTCAGTGAAGTGCGTCAGTTTTCGTGGCTATTACCGTTCCTGCTGCTCACTTCATTGTGCGTGACGTTCGGTCTCAAAAAATAGATTACTCTGAAAATATCGCGGCAAAAGTGACACAAACTTTGAAGGTGTATCAAAGTATTGACTTCATGAAATCGAAATGGATTATACAGCGAGTGAATACTGTGATATGTTAATTATTTATAGCGAATGTGATCAAAATTCGAGTGTTGCTGCGAGAGAATATGCTGCACGATTTCCAGCACGGAGATCTCCGACCGCAAATGTATTTTTGCGTTTAATAAATCGGGTTCGTGAAACAGGGTATGTTATGCCTATGACAAAAGGTCTTGTTGGTCGTGGACGTCATGCGGACAGAGGAAAATGAGGAAACAATCTTGTTGGCGATAAATGAAGATCCAACAGTCAGTATACGAGAATTAAGTCGCAGATTTGAAATGTATAAGAGCTCGATACAACGTATTTTAACTGAAAACAAAATGTATGCTTATTATTTCACAAAAGTCCATAATTTACTACCTCAAGATTACGGACATAGGTTAAATTTCTGTGAATGGTTACTGACACAAGAGGAAAATCAACCCGGCTTCGTGAAAACAATCTTGTTCACTGACGAATCTTGTTTCACACGCGAAGGTGTATTTAATCACACTTTACTTAGAAATTGTGTCAATATTACACTTTTTGTTTCAATTTGTTTTTACATAATGTTTGCGTTACTTTCTAACATAATCATTTTTTGTTAAATTAACATAAGAATTTGAGTGAACCGTTTGGTTGACTTGTGAAATATGTATAGTACGTTAAATTGAACATAAATTTTCAATTATGTGTATAAGGAACGGATTAATGATCGCGAAGAATTAGAAGATAAAATAATAGAAGCTTTTGCTACCATAACATCGGACATGATCACGAACGCTACGTCAAGTCTTCTTCGGCGCGCTCGATTATGTGTTGATTGCCATGGTGGCCACTTCGAACAGCTGCTGTAAATAGTATCATTATAATATTAAACTATAGCACACTAATCAATAAAAAATGTTTATACATATGTAAAAAATTAGTGCATTTAAAAAATGAAAGAAGTTGTTACTCATTTAATTAACAATCGATTTTGATAAGTTTATAATATTTATTTACTTATTTGTTTTATTTTTATCTTTACTTCATTTTATTTTATTTATTTATTTATTTGTAGGAAAACTCTATTTGTAGTAGAACATTATCGCATTATAGTTTTTTATTCATTTAATTTCTTCTAGTTTATTAAAGAAATATGATAAATTAATTTACTATTTGACATAACTTATTTAACAACTTTGACAGTTCGATGTAATGATTGAAATTCTGTAATAAAAGACTGAATTCTATGTATAATTTCAATTATACAATTACATACGAATCTTAAAAGTGAAATCTCTTTACCATTGTATGTAAAATTAAAGCGCTTACCGCGAAAGTGCCTAACTGCTAAAATTCGGTTTCTTATTATGAAGCGTTATTATCTGATAAAACTATTAATGCTTTACAATAAAAAAACCGAATTTCGACGTTACACATTTTGCAACAATTGTCTCAATTAAATCAACATTTAACAAGCGAGTCAATGTACAAGGGCCCCACGCGATGTTCGCACCTGAGCGCGCGATTTTCAGACTCTACAATTGGCCAACTTTAATCGTTTATAATTTGAAAACTATTGTAGCCTGGACATTTTTGTATAGATGGTTTTTAAATTAAAGGCTATAAAGAGTCAAACACAGTTAACAATGCGAAAAAAAAAAATTTTTTAATAATCTTACAAATTAACATTAAGATGCCCCGTCGAACGTTTCGGTCTGCAATTTAGACCATCTTCAGCGACGAAATAATAATAAATCAATACTCCTTTTACTCCGAGTTAGAATGCAAGTAGTAGAATCAATTCTTGTTGAACGACAAAATGTTCCTGTGCACCAACTAGAGGTAAATACATCGTAGATAATGGATGTGGAGTTGTGTAATGAAATTCCGAAAAATCAGAAATATGTCTGTGAAAAGGACCGTTAACAACACAAATTTTATTAGAGTCAAATTATTACAAAACAAAAAATTACTAAAATCCTTAAACCCTTACCTCTGTTGGTAGACAAAAACATTATTTCATAATTAAATTCACAATTTAATCATACTAGAAAGACTGACTGTAATAAATATGCGTCCGTATTCGACAGTAAAAGACGATACAATGAGGAACCGTTAAATTAAAAAATAACAAAACGAGAAGGCTTAGGTCAAATTGATGTTGACAATTTATCTAAAATATCCGCGTATGCCTGATCAAGACCTTCTGTGTCAGTTTTTAAATTCAGACCATTATTTTGAGATTTAATATAAAGCATTTCCGATATTAAACGCTTATGGTAAAAATTTTCACTATCCAAAATTTTCACATTGTTCCATTCAAAATCATGATTATGCTGCAACCTATGGTCAGTAATAACAGATCTGGAGGATGTATTTCTCCGTATATGACTACGATGTTCGTTTACTCTCGTTTTTAACATTCTCTTTGTCTGACCAACATAGGTAGCATCACAATCACTACATTGAATTTCGTATACAATGTTCTTTTTCGTTGTATGTGCAAGGGAAGGTTGTAAAGGTCTATTCATAATAGCATGAATTCTTTTCTTAACTTTTTCAAAGACAAAGTCCAATGGATAGTCATTTAGTGTTAAAATATCAATAATAAATTAAAAATTTTTCTTATAAAATTCTGGATGTGATAGTAAAAACGCCTTATCAACCAATCCATAAATGACACTTTATTTTTTGAGAAAGGGGGTGCTGAGACCAAAAATTCAACATTCTGCCCGAATAAGTAGGTTTTTGAAACCAGTCGAATCTTATAAAATTATCTTTTATTATCATGGTGGTATCCAGGAAATTGATTCTGTCACCACCTATTTCAATGGTGAATTGTAACCTAGGGTGAAAGCTA